ACCCAGGACCCAGCGGTGCTGCAGACCCCGTTGCAATGCCACATCACCCCCAGCGCACCTCCCTTCCTGGGGGCTGCCAGCTCAGTAACCCAGCCCACCTCAAGTGAGGGGAAATGGAGATGAATCTTTATTTTTTGCTTTCCAGGAAAGTTGCCATCCGTGTTGGCCATCCATCAGACCAGATCCACATTCACCCATGAGGCAGCTCCTACTCCCAAACTGCTCAGACGAGGGACATGATGGGGTGAAGGCACCAGGATCTCTCTTGCCCTCCAGCTCCGCAGCCACCCCACACCCAGTTTCTCAGAAAACTGAGCTCAAAAACCAGTCAGGGCAACCAGGCAGCAGTGGATTCACCACCAGCCCCGCTCACCAAGTCAACAGCTCAAAGCCCAAAGCCACACACAGCCCCATCCCCACACCTGGCTCCCTCTACAGGGCCTTTTACCTGGATGAGACACTTGATTTTTGGTCCTCACATTGGTCAGAAATCCCTCCACACACACACTCTGCTCCTGAGGCTCCTTTCACACCCCTCGGAGGCACCTCTGACCCAGGACCACACCATGTTCCAGGCAGCTCTTAAAGCTCCTCCTCCACTTCAATCCCACCTGCTGGCTTGGAGCTACACACAGCTACACCACCAGGCAGAGCGCCAGAACCTATAGGAAGCTTTGGGAAGCACAGGGACATGGACAAGCTCTTCTGCTGCTCTGGTAAAAACATTAATTCACATCCCAAACAGAGCTGGAGATGTTCTGTTACTTACAAAGACCATGAAGTCAAGCAGCAGCACACCCCAAAACCAGCCTCCAGCTCCTTCCTCTGCACTAACAGTGATTTTTCTTTTTTTTTCCTCGCTAGCCCACACATGGGGGGCAATATTCAGCTTTTAATTATGCAGTGAACAAGTCCCCCACACTTTTACTGCAGAGATAAAATCCTTATATGAAGGATTATGGTCTACTATAGTGACAGACTCTGTAGAACTGTGGCAAAACCTGTGCCACAAAGGCATCTTACCTCCTTTTTTTTTAAAAAAAAAAAAAAAGAGCTGAATGTGGTTCCTTTTAGTTTTCATTTCTTTTCCATTCTGGCTAGTAAAAGGTATTTCTCAATCATCACAGCAATGAGTATCAAGGACAGGGATTATCAACATCTCCTCACAGGAGGAGCAGCAGCCTCTGGGACCTACAAGCAGCAACTGGCTGCTTCTCATCAGCCTATTGCACAGACAGTTTGAAAACGCAGTATTACCCAAATTAAGAGGATCTTATCAAATAAACACACTCCACAAATCAAAGCCTATAAGGACTCAGGTCCAATACTAGGAGAACTACTAACTCGGGGCTTTCATATCAGTAAGACTTTGGGCACAGAGAAGCCAGAAACAGACTGTGCAGCCTTCAGCCTCCTGGTCGCACCCCTAACACCATGAGGAACCAGCTGATGCCTCTGACAATGCTTTGGCACTCACAAAGGTGTGAGTTTCACTGCCTGGGTAACACCTCAGAACACGTCCATATCCCACCACCTCCGCAGATGATCCATAAAGCAGCCAGGGTGAGTCAGATCATTTGTCTCAGGCTCTTCTGCAGGATCAAGATCTTACTCCTTGTTGACAAGGAAATTTGAGGGCTGTGGTCTGGGGAAGCTCCACCTGAGGAGGAGTCACTGCCTTGGAGGGGTGAGACTCACCCACTTAAGATCAACTGAGGCACCAAACCCATGAAACGCCCCCGTCCTACAACAAAACCACGACCTCTCCATACAAGTAACCGATGAACTGGAGCAAAACCCAAGGTCAGTGCAGTGCCAAAGCCCTTCAGCACAGGTGGAAAGGTGTGTTTGCTCAGGCATTTGCTGCCCTTGTGTCTCCTCTGACCATGCAGGGCTCAGGGGGGCTACAGGGATCCTGCTGTGCTGCTGAGTGGTGGCACACCCAGAACCTTTAGCTCAGTTTGCCCCCCTGTAGTAGCACGAGGGGTGTCCCAGCACCACTACGTGAAAAAAGCACTTCCCTGCTCCACTGCACAACACATCCCCCCCCCCAAAGCACTCCATGCCAATGCAGCCTCATCGGTGACCCAACAACCTTCCCAGCACAAAGCTAAACCAGTTCCAGCAAAAAAAAGCAGTCGCACAAAACCCTGCAGCACCCCAATGATGGGGTACTCAGAGCAGCATCAGCTCGGTCCCAGCCCAGGTGGAAACACCCCAGCATCCTCCTGCAAGGGACCACTTTAATTTCTGCCCTTAAACCAGCGTAACCCCCACACAGACCTCAAAGGAGCAAGAAAACACGATGTGCCACCTACCTTGGGTGCTGGAAAACCACGATTGTTCCACAAAGGAGAAGGACCCACATTTGGAGAAGCACAGGAGGCTGCCCAGAGGGTGGGGGCCATCCTGGTTTTATAGGGGCTGGGGCAGATGAGCAAACACCCGCAGCTGCGGGTGGGAGCACACGGAGCACACGGGGGTCGTTAGCAAAACCCAACGATGCCCAGGTGCTCCTGCAAGCCCTGGCAGGGAACTAACGGTTCTTCCCCTGATGGAAGCCCCCTCCCTCCCCAGCCACCCCAAGGGTTGCTCCAGGTGCCAACTGAAGGCACCCAACAGCCCCCAGGTTCAAATCACAGCGGGGGAGGCTTCAGCTGAGTTTTGCGAGGGTCCGGCGTGGAGTTCAGTAACTTGGAAGTCCTGAAGCTTCTTTAAAGGGTCCTAAGTTTGAATGATTACAGTAAGGTATTAAAGGGGAGAAATGGGACAGAAAAGAATACTTAATGTCGTATTTCATTGCCTCACCATAAAATCCTTTTTTATTCCCTTTAAAGCCTTGCTGTCAACTGAAATAAAACTCCAGATTTATTCCCGGGGAAGTACGTGAGTAATAAAAAAAGAAAAATTAAGCACAATCAGTGGATTGCACAAGGGAAACCCCAAAGTTAACCCTCAAATTTCAACCTACAAAAATCCTTTCGCGGATGCAAACCTAGAAGGGAGAGGAAAGGTGCCTGACCAGCCCGGCCACGCTGCAAACGCAAAGTCAGGGCAAATCAATGGCACGTGCGTGGGCATTGGGATGAGGTCTTTTGTCGGTGGTGTAAGAGTGAGCAACGCCCATCCTTGGTGCTATTTTGTCCAAAATAAGGAAGAAGCCGGTAGGAAGCGGAACATCATGACAGCACCGCTTCCTCCCCGTGTGCATGCGAGGAGGAGGACAGGGAGGAAGGCGGCAGCCAGCTCAGGATGCAAATGCAAAACCTTCTGGGTGGTGGTGGGAAATGCCAGGGAAGAGGAGAAAAGGAGATGGGAAGAAGCAACTCGGCTTTTGGCTGGTTCTTCCCAGTTCAAACAAGGACAGTATTAACAAAAATCTCTTTAAAAAAACCCAAAATGTAAAAATGGCCTCTTGACCGACCACGTGAAAGTGATACAGGGAGTGATGTAGGTGGTATGGCAGGACCCACCAAATCTAAGCCAAATGGGATAAAAAAGAAAAACCCTGCAAAGCTCTTGAAAGCTGGCTTTAAACGATAGTGACGTGTTTTGACACCGCTCCCTGACAACAATGGCTGTAACACAAACAAAAATTAATGATGTCAAGTATTAATGCTGATGCTGCATGAACTCAACCAACGTGGCCCCAATTAAATATCAAGCGTGGTTATAATTTGAAAGGTGACTGCAGAACCGTCATTGCGACGGCTCGCGTCTCTCCCCCGATGTCCAGCCCAGGTCTGCGCATCTCCCTGGAGGGATTGCGGTTCCCACCGTCCCCATCCTCGCTCGTGGCTGCTATAGAAACACCAAGTCCAGTTGCCAAAACGCATGACCCTGACAGGCATCAGGAGGGCTTTTTAACAGCGAGTTTACGTCCTATTGTACTCTCTCTCTTGGGTTCTGAGCCACCGAAGAGGTCTCGTTGCATGTTTTTCTCTGCAACTAAGAGGGCTACAGAAACATCCTCTGCACACTGGAAGCTGAGGTGCTTCTGCAGTCACTGGAGTCCACAGGCCAGGACTTTAGGAAAGTCAAACGTACAGGGGGTTTGTAACGTAGCTTTAAGTGTTGCCAGCACTAGTCACTGGCAATAAATAACTTCACTCAGGAAGCGAAGCCAGACAACGTCCAACCTGCCCGTGCAAGCGCACGGGTGCTACAGCGCTGACAGCAACGGAGCTCACGCAGAAGTCAGCAAAGCGCCTAATGATATCCAGGATTTCCAGAGAGAGTAAATCAGCCGAGACCAGGACTTCTTCTGGCTGCAACTGCTCCTCAGAGCAAATATACTATCCCCAAACAATTCCGTATCAGTTCATTGCCTGGACGACAGACTGGGAGAGCTACAGGACAAATCTGCCCACAACTCATCCGACTCACCTCCGCCTTGTTTCAAGTTACCCGAGAGGTTCCTGAAATTCAGGCCACGCTACGGTGTCTCCAACTGAGGATCCACCCAGCCAGGAGTTGTCCAAACCCACCGTTTTGTTTTTCAACCATCAGACACGTCCAGGAGATTCCAGACTCACCGACAACCCCCGTGCAAGGCTGATAATGCAAACTGGTCCTACTGGGCAGCTTGTAGGGCCACAGTCTATTCTGCTCTTCCCACCAGCACCGATACCCGCTGATTTGCCCTGATAACCATTAATTTGCACGAAGACGAACGTGCACACCCATCTTCTCGATGTCCCCATCCTGTTTCGTGTTACCAGAGAGATCACAGAGCCCTGGGCAAGACCAGGTACGGGAGACTTTCCTCTCACCTTCTCCGCTTGCTCGCTGGCTCTGAAACTGACCTCATTTACCCTCCTCCTGGAGACAACTGCAGCCTCCCAGCAACTCATTTATTGTTTTTCTAAGGGTCCTGGTTGAGGTGGGAGACAGCGGTTGCCCCTCTGGAACCCCCCCAGCTGCAGAGCGCCTGAGCAGCCACTGCTGCGCACCTCAGTCAGGGGGGGCAAAAAAAGACAATTAAACCCCCCCCCTATAATGCGAATACTTTATTATCAATGAGTGACTGGTATTAGCTTTTTGTCTGGGTATTAATAATATTTCAAAAAACCATACATCAAAATTAGGGCTTTCTCCTATTTTTGCTGTATAATTTTTCTTTTTTAAAAAAATCTGTATTGAAAGAATTATATAAGCCAAAGTGCATTTTCTGTTTTTTGTCCATATACACATTGCACCATACATAAATAATTACATTGTAAAAATGACTCCATAATTACAAGTATAATATATATTTTCATATAATATATAAAACTTTATATTAAATCTAGGTAGATGATATTTGGGATAGTCTGTGTCTTTTTTTTTTTCTTTTTCCTTTCGTCAGAGGCCGACCGTTATCGATTGTTACTGAGTAAAATCTCCAGCCAACAAGGACACGACGTGATAAACTGTCTCGAGTAACACGGCCCCCAGCCTTTGGCGAAGCTGATCCGCACGCTGTTCGGGTCGTAGGGCCCGTCGGCGTAATCCAGATCGGCCGTGTGCTGCAAGAGGCAGGACTTCTCGTAGTCAAACACCTTGATGGAATAGCCCGGCATCACCTTGCGCACGATCAAAGTCCTACAGTTGGGGATGTCCAGTGTCGGGGAGTTGACGAAGATGGGATGCTCGCTGCGGTTGTAAGCCCACACGCCGTCCGGTTCTTTGCTCAGTAAAATCCCGTAGCCGATTTTACTTCGAGTCCTTCTCACAGTCTCGCTCCTGTTTTCCAGGTTTAGCTGTCCGAGGCAGAAGCCGTTTCCTTGAGGTAGGTCATAAAATATACTGACAGACTGTTCGTACACTGTGTAGAGGCGGCCGACGCGCGTCCGGTGCTCCCAATAGGCCACGTTGCACCAATGGCTCCTCTTCACGGCATCGGGCGACGTACTGGCGTCTGTGGGGGAAAGCAGAGGAAGAGTCAGGGTTTGCTGCGACCGCCCGGGAAAAGACAGGGATGGAGGGTAAGCACACGGCTCTTCCCACCCATTGGCTTTGCTCACGCGGGAACTGAACTTGTGTTCAGCCTAAAGCCCGTCTTCAACCCAAAGCCCATCTTTGACCCAAAGCCCATCTTTGACCCAAAGCTCGTGCTCAACCCAAAGCCCATCTCCCACCCAAAGCCTGTCTTCAATCACGTCGAATGCCACCAAGAAAGAAGGCTCAAGCAAAGGCTGGTGACCCAACAGGTCACCCACCAGCTCCCAGGGAACTCAACGCCTCTTTCTCTCTCTAATTTCACGTTCAACCCTGCGTCCAGCAGCTGGGACCCTGTGTACTCAAGATACGTGCATTTCGACCACCAAGAGCCAGCATGGATACTGTACCACTGTAACCCAGGCACCCCTGAGCTTGGTGGGTCCCCAGGCTCCTCCACCATTGCTGTGGCGGTGTACGCCCATTTTCAAAGGCCAACTTGTGTTGTGCTGAAACACAGAGGATGTCCATGAAGTGCTTGGATGACTGACCCGACAGTTATCTCTGCTATGTAATATTCTTTGACAGCGATGCTGATGTTCCCACGGGGAACATGAAATCTGAGGAGACATTTCATGCCAAGGGGGAGTAGCTGCTACAAACTATACATGTCCTCCTACAAAGCCATTGGAACTCTCTCCAGAACAATGAGAAACGTCTCTTCTTTCTAGGAATTACACTCAAGGAAGATGGGAGGGACGCAGACTGCCAGAAATCCGCTTAATTTATGATGCCTCCAGGATTTACGATGCCTCCAGAAGGAAGACAGGAACTCTCAGCCCTAAAAGAGCCCCGAAGAGGGTGAATTAACCTCTTGCTGATCATCACTCCTGCTCCCACCACACCGGCTAACAGAAAACCGCCCTGGGATTTCAAGCAAGGAGCTCTGCTTCGAGCCAGCCCTGCTCCATGCCTGCATTAAGCTCCCTGACAATATATCACGCGCCCGCGGCCTGCTGACCCCTCTGCCTTCGTGCCATCACGTCCGATTAACTCGCACGCGGGGTGATGCCATTATTTTGCTTCAGAGACCCTATTGACGCACCGGATTTCAAGCGCAGCCCTACAGCCCCGTTTCTTTTCAGGCTCAAATTACCCCGGAGGGGAACGGGCTCTCCTCCCCATTAACCATCTTTGAATTAAGCGGCTTTGTTGGAGTTTAACTTGAGTGGTAACTCTACAGATTTAAGGGGAGGGAGATGGGGGATAATTGGGCAAGCGGGGAGGCCGGCGGGACGCTCTGTGCCGTGGGCAATGCTCATCGTCGTCCTGCACCGACCCCTTCACCCGTCACAGGTTTGAACCGCCCGGAAAATGCCGGGTTAGGAGCCAGCACGGCCACCAACAGCCCGTTTTTGGTTTGATACACATTTTATTCACAACTGGGAAGGAAACCCCGCAGCAACGAGACACTTCAACCCCACTGTGAAAAGAAACACCACTTCCCTGCATTTACTGCAATCCATGGAAGAGCGAGCCAACAGCTTCATGCCCCCTAATACTGGAGGTGATGGCCTGGACCTCCTGAAGGCATGGGTAAAGCCTAGCTGAATACAGCTAGGTGAGATGCACCCCTAAATTCAGAGTCCGTGGCTCTGCACAGCAGGGAAATGGGTGAAGACCCTTGGTCAGAGCAATGGTAGCGCCCCAGAGCCCGGTGAGGCAAACTTGGGTTTCCTTCCCCCAAGGGGAAGGTCCTGTCCCCAAGCCACAGACCTTACAGTGGGGTGAGACACTCCACTATGTCCCAGTGGAACTGATGGGTCTTTGTGTCTCTGAGCCATCCCCAGTGGAAACCACTCAAGAGTCACTCTGTAACAAGCTTATCCTAATGCTGAACTCTGCTAATGACAAAAATCAGCAAAGTCACATTTTTTCCCCCATTCTTACTCTTTGGAGAATAACTGTATTTCCTCTGCCATCTCAAATGACTGTGTCTGGATCACCAGGAGTTAACTTGCTCCGAAAGGGTAATGACTTCATCGTCAAGTGCCTGATAGATATGTTGTACCCAAGCACATCATTAAAGACTGATGACTGGACTTGACTCTTTCTCAAGTATCTCATGATGCCCAGCAAAGCACCAGCCACGCGAACATGCAAGTTTTTGGGAAGGAAGAGAAGATTCAAAAGCAATTCTGGGTTAGAAACACCTCCCCGCTTCCAGCTGCCTAGTGCCAATACAACGCACTAAGATCTCCACCAAGAACAGAAACTTTGATGAAACTGGTGATGAAAAGCTTCAGAACATCTTTGCAGTATTTCTGTGGCAGTTGCAAAATCGCCGTTAACCAAGTTTATGGCATTAACACAAATCTGACCCAAACATGGAACATTACCGAAGCAAGACCATCCTTAGTTACATCTGTACAAACCCCTGAAACCAGCCTGGTATGAACAAAAACCTTTTGACCTTCTCTGATAACACCCCTTGCTCTACCACCATGCAGATGGTCAGCGCATTTTGCTCTTCAAAAAGCACTACGGTAAATATTTCCAGATTTTCTTTTAAGAGGTGAAACAAGATGTAGTTCATAAATGACACAACAGCAGAAAGAAGTACTGAGCAACTGAGCTTCACCTGCAGGTACATCTTCCCCAGCGCCCAGTTTCCCCTGGGACATCATACAGCTGAAATGCCCCCAGTGCCTTTCCAAAACTCTCCTCGAATGCTAAATTTTGCTGTTGTCCCACTCGAGTGATGCTGGGGGGGGGCTACAGACAAGCTCAGAGCTTTTCATCTGCTGGGCCTGGAGGCTGGTAGCAATTACTGAGCTCTGCATCAGTTTAACCTCCCAACCTCCACAAAGCCCTGCATGCCCATTAGGTAAGCTGGTTTGGTTATGACATTTTTTTAGAAAGTACCACTCAGCCCCTGAATTTCCCTTACAGACTAAGAATGGGACAAGTTCAAAACCGAAGTTTCCCCATCAGCTGAATTAATGAGGGGAACAGTCACCAATAAACATTTAAATAGGTGCTTCCCATGGTTTACTGCAAATTAACATACTTAGTGGGGAAAAAATCAAAGGAGGAGGAAACCAGTGGCTGTTCTACAAGAACATCTCGCTGTAGGTGCCACCATCCCTCATGACATCCCTGCTTTCCAGGACCTGGCAAATATTTTGGCAAAATCATCCATCGACGCACATGCTGAAAACAGGGGAAGGGTTTTTTTACACCTCCTGCTTTCATGCATCTGAAATAGCCTTATTAAAATCACTTCCATGGAATTTATGGCATGAGCTTCAGTCCATCCATCCATGCATGCATCTCGGGGGGCGAAATCCCCCCTGCCAATGGGCTTCTCATCTCTGTCACCCTGTCACAGCTCCTGCCGGGCAGCGACAGCTCTGCCAGCTCAAAGCACTCCTGGAGATGTCCCGTGCTCCTTCAAACAGGCGAGAATGTGAGTTTTAGCTAACTGCCCATCAAGCAGCTGAAAGTTTCCTTTCCACCCCACTTTTCCTGAGCAGGGGTGAAGAAAGGCTTTAAAAGCCACGCACCAGCCGCAAAAGCAACCTGCCCGTGGCCCACAGGCAAACAAAACACCCCAAAAGGAGACGGTTAAAAGGCTCATCCGAAGAGCCTCTGCCTCCAGAAAGCTTCGGGCAGGCTCCCTCCTCTCCCCCAGCCCCATCCATCGCCGCTGCCCCGCTCCCCGTGCCGCGGTGGGTGCCTTCGCCTTCTTGCACCCTCCAGCGCGCTCAACCGAATCCCGACAACGTGAACTCATCTCGCGGCCCTGACGGAAAGCAACAAGCGCTTCAGCAAGCCCCCGATACAAGGGGGCCTGCGCTGTGTCTTATCCCCTGCCAAGTATTAGTTTCGCCTCCAGCTATTAGCCACTACCACTCAGCAGACAGCAGGGGCGGCCGGCAGAAAACCATGTCCTCTGCCTTTTAAATAAATATCCCATTTTTTCCCTCCTCTCTCTCCACGCTGCCCTTTATGTACAGACAAGAAAATCCACTTTTCCACCCCCCCCCCCCCCCCCACCTTTGAACAGAGGCTGGCTTGTTAGCTTTCTTTTTGAAGAAAGAAAAATGTTTTAGTCCTGCAGTGCCTCCCTCGATGGTATACCACGCATTTTTAACAACTATCATTGTAGGCAGCTACAACTTCTAACAGCTACATTTAGGCTGGCGTCAGGGCTATCTCCTCCATCAAAGCCACCTCTATCGATCAGATGGATGGGCTGAAACTCTGGCTCTTGTTTACTCGGTCCTCCGAGCTGCCGTTTCCTCCGCTGCAGCGATGCCTTGCAGCAGACACATTCAAAAGGAAATGCAAACAATTTAAGATTAAGAAAACAAGATAAAAAAGCAAGACGGAGAATCAAAACCAGAACTTAACGGGAAAAGAGTCTCGCATGGCTCAGGCAAAAGGAATCCGGGTACGGGAGTAAATGCAAAGAGCAAACACTGTAAATCCTCATGGCGTTCGCAGCACTGCTGCTTTCGCTCCCTGCAGAGTGTGGAGGTAAAAAAAATAACTTGAGGTTTTGGATTATTTGTGATTTGACAGCGTTTTATGCCAGTAAAGTTCAAAGCAGTGCATTAAAAGAGAAAAGAAAGATGCTTTTTTCCCAAACAAAACGCCGCACAGTCCCACTGCTTGATGTTGCACTTAAAAGCAGGGCGGAAAACATGGGCAGATCACAAAACACATGAAATATCTCTGATTCATGCTTTGGCTCTTCCAAAGCCACCAAACCTCTTCTCAGCAGGTCAAATGGCCCCCACAATATACGGCTGCAAGCAAGATCTTGCTGCGTAAGGGAACGGGGGTGAGAAGGGAAGTTTGCTGCAGCACTTTGAGGAATATTCCCATTTTTGCACGGACTACTGAGGAAAACAGTCACAAGTGGCCCCGTGTGGTTTCTCCAAGCAGAGCCCTCCCGTGAGGAAAGGGTGGTGC